TATTAGAAACGATAGAGAACACACACACACACACACACACACACACACACACACACACACACACACACATTCCTGTTGCCTTTTGGACGATGCATGGGCTTTGGGGTTTGTCCCACACACAGACATGTGTTTCAGCTCCTCTGACAGTAATCAGCGCACATGATTATGAAACTTTACTGTTTTAGATGCAGAAATTGGGACATTTCATGAGTGTAAATAATCCCTGTTCTATTAATAATTACATATTAGTTAAAGGTGATATTTTATCTTCAACAGTACAAATCTAGATATTTGCCATCTCTCATTAAACTCTATTGCTTTTTCAAAAGAACTCATATATAGTAGACCAATATTATATTATGGAAGCCACCAGTATCAAATAATAAATGAACTGTAATTAATAAACGTTCAATCATTTGAACATGTCGTGAACTAGAACCAGATGGTTGTTTGAATAACTGCTAATGAAGGCAGCTTTTGAATGTTTTGAATGCGCTTTTATGTGTGAGCTCGGCTGTATATTTAGCCGTGTGATTAGACTGCTGTACAGGTTTATTGTTCAGTCATAGATTGTCACATTAGAAGCCTGGAACAATCCTGTACTGTATATTATTCCTAATAAGCAGTCCTGATAAGGCAACTTACGTTTCCAGTGACACTCCTCATGTTGCTTTAAAATCTCTTGCATAGGTTTAGAGGACTTCCTAAAGGTCTGAAGTTTCAACTTGTAACTTGTTTCGTGCTGTGTTTACGTTCTGAACACATCATTTGTCTTTGTCAGTCTTTTTCTTTGCTTTCATAAATCAAAACATGATTAGACTCGGAGTGCAGGTGCTCTTTGGGATTGTTTGTCACCTCATTTACAGCGATAGCATCTTTTGCTGATAGCAATATCTTCCTGAAAGCATTGTTGAAATATTGCGCATGGAGTTGTAGTGCTGTTGGGTAGTCTGTTCAGATTATGCACAGTGTTGTTTCACAGTGATGTTGTTAGAGGATCTGTCACAGAATCCAGATAGGAGCAGCTGCACCTGTATTATCACCTGTAGTAACCTTCTGGAGGACTTCATTATGCCTCCCTGAGAGACGGTACGTTAACCATCATTGGCACAGCTGGTGTTGGGAACAGGAGTGGATTTTGATTAGTCCTGAAGGCCCATGGAAAAGCAGGCCCATCCCACCGTGATTTCCTGCCTGACAAAATCATGCTAGAGAGCTTCACTAATAAATGTTTGGACAGAAATGATGGTGCTGTGTCATGACTGATGCAATGAGCCATTCCCTAGTAAAAAAAGTAATATATTTAAAATACATTTATTTCATACTAAGTGTAGCTCAAATCTATTGACACATTTTCTGACATATCGCGCGAGACTTACTGATATAGAAATGATAATTAAACTTTATTTGGAGTACTACTTGTGCACAATGTACATTTCTTATTATTTAGCCTAAAATGTGTTTTAATGTCAGTATTGAAGAGGATTGTATGATCTTTGAATAATATTGGTCTTTAAATGCGAGATATATAGATACTGTATAAAGTATACTTCTGCACAATTACAGTGCATTAAGCACAACATTAGTTGTTCCAGTTTAGCAGACTTGAAATTTACCAGTTTAGTGTACCAAAAGTACAACTGCAGGGTATTTTTATTAAGTACACTACCAGTCAAAAGTTTTTGAACAGTAATATTTTTAATGTCTTTTAAAGAAGTCTCTTCTGCTCACCAAGCCTGAATTTATTTGATCCAAAGTACAGCAAAAACAATAAAATTTTGAAATATTTTTACTATTTAAAATAACTGTTTTCTGTTTGAATATATTTTAAAATGTAATTTATTCCTGTGATTTCAAAGCTGAATTTTTAGCATCATTACTCCAGTCACATGATCCTTCAGAAATCATTCTAATATTCTGATTTGCTGCTCAAAATCATAATAATAATAATAATAATTATTATTATTATTATTATTATTATTGATATGTTGAAAACAGCCACGTATTTTTTTTTACATTTTTGTCTTTACCATCATTTTTGATAAATTAAAGCATCCTTGCTAAATAAAAGTATTAATTTCTATAATTTCTATTCATTTCTATTTAATTCTTT